GCAGGCGATGTGCGAGGGACTATTTGGAAGTGTTGGAGAAGTAGCTTAAGTCTGGTCACGATAACTCTGTGAGTTTGGTCAGGATAGGGGAGGGGCTGTCTCTTATACACATCTAGATGTGTATAAGAGACAGAGTCTGCAGATGGATACTTGTGTAGACCGGGAATCATGATCATCATGATCGTTCGTCCTTGTCATCTTGCGGTCCTCTAACACACTACCACTTAATCCATTGCCACACTTTTTCCCTTATTCCCATCGGCGGAATTTCGTTGTGAGGTTGTAAACACTAATATTGAAATCGAAATATCTGAACAATTGGACGAGATGAGGCAAGGCAGAAGCCGAAAGGAAATATGATGAGGGTAATGAGGAAGATCAGGGCCTCAGGGATTCTTGTCGCAAGCTTTCTGTCTGATCATGGCTCTTGACTGTACAAGCCGAGTTTTGAGTTTTGTTTGTTCCAGTAACTGTTTTGGAATCTACAGTAATGGTTTGAGATATTTTTGACTTTTTTAAAATTTTAATTGCATGAAATCAAAGGCCGTTATCTTCCGTTATCTTCCGTTATCTTCCGTTATCTTCCTCGTCATCTTCCGTTATCTTCCGTCATCTTCCGTCATCTTCCGTCATCTTCCGTCATCTTCCGTCATCTTCCGTCAGCTTCCGTTAGCTTCCGTCAGCTTCCGTCATCTTCCGTTATCTTCCGTTATCTTCCGTCATCTTCCGTCAGCTTCCGTCAGCTTCCGTCAGCTTCCGTCAGCTGTGTTCCTACCCTCGGACCTTGCAATCTACCGGTAGTTTGACTATTAGAACAGAAGAAGGGGGGAAAACCCTCACTTCGTTATTAATTAAAAAAAAAAAGAAAAGCCTTTGTAAAAACAAATTGCCGCTTTCGGATCTCCGGCCGTCGAGCAGTGTTTCGGCCTTGCGGCACCACTCACCGAACAACAGCATTGGAATGTATCTCGACCTGTTGTTATTATAGTCTGAATGCATTCAAATATATTCCCAGCACCAGCCAGTTCTATTCTATTTTTAGCACAGAAGGTGCGAGGCACAAGGCCCTCCGCAATAGCCCACATTGGGCCTCCCCAATTTCGGATGGGCCTCATTTGTCAGCAGGCGGTGTGACCCCGCCCCGCCCGACGCTGCCGGCTACCGGGTCTGTATGACCACTATGACGACAACGTGCGGCGTACCCCGAGGGCGGGACGTCGCACATTGGCCGTCGGCCAATGACAACACAGAGAACAGGGACCAGGCGCCTCGTCGCACTTATGGGCCAAACTAACTAACCGATCCGGTCCTAGTGCTGTATTTGAGCGGGCCTGGGTGCAGACACTGAGAAAGGACGTACCTGGTGTGTCTTGGACGTCTGCATGGGTGTCCGCTGCTCAACCCAGGGCGCTGCCCTCTCAACCGGGAGTTATGAGTGGGCCGCTCATGACGCAGGGCGTTGCCCGCTCATGAGCGGGAGTTATGTGTGGGCCTGCTCCAGGCATCTGCCTGCCATTACTTGCGTCCTCGTTTGCTTCTCAGTCGTATCCATGTCTTACACCTGCCCACCGGCCATGGGCTCCGACCCTCAGATATTTCCCCACTGCTCTGCACGTGAGCGACTGCCAAAGTGCGTGTGCGTGTGCGTGTGTGTGTATGTTTGTTATGTTTGCTGTATACAACCCCGCTAAAAAAACATGACTCTGTCAGACTGTGTCGTCGGACTTTCACTTTCACTGGCTCATCAGGAGGTTGAACCGGCTCATCAGGAGGTTGAACCCCCACAGTCTGCCCAGGCAGGATGTACTGGACTGAATGGGTAAGGAGTCTTAAGGACGAAACATGTCATCCGGAGTTAGAGATACCCCAGAGGGCTTATTCACACTAGGACTATAGTACTGATTAATGGACGTAATTGCGGTCAGATGCATCGAGGTCCGGCCGTGAATGCGGTCAAATACATTTAAGACAGAGCTAGTCTGAGTATGCCCTGAAAAATGGTCGACGTTACTCGCACCGACCCTGCAATCCTAGCAGACGGTGGCGCTATGGTATATATGCTGCCAAATTCAATGGCTGGCCATTCGATGGCTGGTGTTCAATCAGGTTCCGACTTCTCAGACTTCCAGCTCGCTGCGTTTACTCTTTCAAGCCACATTTCTTCCTAGGGGCTCGAGCAGAAAGGTTTCCAAACCCCTGACAAGATGGCAGTAAGTCTGAGAAACTAAACCCACTCTACACACCCACTCAGCCAGTGTGTGTGTGTGTGTGTGTGTGTGTGTGTGTGTGTGTGTGTGTGTGGGTGGGTGGGTGGGCGGGGGTGCGTGTTTGTGTTTGTGTGTGTCGTGTGAGGGAGGCTATAGGGGGGAGGCTGGATTGGAGGGGAAGCAAATACCTTTTTGGGTGGGCTGTTAGCAACGGCGGCCATGAAACCCACTCACCTCCCAGGAAAGAAAACGGGATTTGAACCTGCGGCTTTTCCCGGGTTTCTTATCAGCTCTGCACACACACTCAGCTTGTGTGTGTGTGTGTGTGTGTGAAGGGGCTGTTGAGGCTGGATTGGGGGTGTGAAGGGGCTATTGAGGCTGGATTGGAGGTGTGGAACTCCTTTTTTCGGTTTATGTCCGGTCTGTTCACGAGTCGTAGGAATTTTGGTCGTTTTTGGTAATGCCATGCCATCTCTTCGGTTTTCAATCCAAGAGTAGATGACTGCAGTACGTTCCACAATAGACATAGATAGATCCTTTGATAGCCTGATCCTCTCCACCCGTGGCCAAATAGAAACAACAACGAAAAAGAACCGCTGACTCACCGGTTTGAGAAGCTGTGCAGTAGATGGATGGAAATGCGAGCGAAATTTTCAGCTGTGCATAACAGTGAACAAGGGCAGTTTTTAGCTGTTTAACAGTTAAAACAAATAATCTAGCAAGTGTGATGGTTTATGGTGACGTAGGGTATTAAACACTGTCGTTGGGTTAGTTTTTTGCAACGCAATTGCCTTTCAATTGCGTCTGCAAGGAAGAAATGGGGAGAGACTGTCACTAACGGTTAACGCTGCCACAGTCAACCTTTCTCACAGTGCTGCCTGCCTGCCTGCCTGCCTGCCTGCCTGCCTGCCTGCCTGCCTGCATGCATGCATGCATGCTTGCTTGCTTGACAACAAAGAGCTAGCACGTGGTGTCTAACGATCGACTCCAACCTGATTTGACAGGCCTTTTAATGGCCAGCTTGTGGGACTGCGTCATCTGGCCGAAAGATTGCCAGCTGCCATCAGATGGTGCCAGCTAGTGAAGGGCTGTCAGGCTATGCATGCCAACCACTCCCTGCCTCCCTTGGGTCTTTCATTTGTTCGATCGAGGGGAAGCGAAAACTTGTGCTTGCGTGATCCGCTTACTTGTGAGAGAGGCGAACATGGAGAGTCGCTGCTCGGATATGATACCAATCACAACACCACCAGTATTTCCCAACTGCGTGAAATGGTCCGAGGAGAATCTTCTGGCGGTCTCCACAGGCCACATCATAAACATCCTGAACCCGGCATTGTTGTCAGGCCCCCGCGGGTACGTATCGTGCTCCCACGGGGAGATCCTCGACATCGGTAAAGTCAAACTCGAAGATCTACACGCTCCATCGCTGCTTCCTACCCGGTTGTCCAAGGAAGACAAAGTCTTGATCCGCTGCGCAGACTGGTCGCCGCAGGGATGCTCGCCAAGCGGTGGGTGTCTGCTGGCAGTATGTACGTCAGATCATCAACTGAAGGTGTATCGCTCGCCGCATTTGGAGCTCCGAGCCGAATGGGTGGAGGTTCTGGACCTCGGGCAGGTCTACTTCAAACACTGTGGTGCAAGCTGTTTCGAGGAAGCAAAGCCGCTGGCATCGGTCTATGAAAAGGATGAGTTGTTGTTGCCACCGGAGGTGGAGTGGGTGCAATCGTCGCCGAAAGAAAAAACGTCGTGTAAGAAGCCAGACCCGAAGAGTAACAAAACTGGGGAAGATAGGCCGCGGCGGGGTGGGCGAAGGCGCAAACAGGAAGAAGCCCCCAGGACACCGGCTGTCGCCTCCTTGGCTCCAGCATCGGAAGGGGAAAAGGAACGGACAGTCGTCCGAGGAGCGTGTAGCTTTGACCAGCTCCGGGCTTTGACGTCGAGACCGCTGGCACTCTTGCGCAGTACACCTCTGGTTGCCGCAGTAAACCAGATCAGGGCGCAGAATGAAGGCGGCAAGGGTATTATGAGCATGCCTGGGACGGATAAGTTTGGAGCGTCGGGCCTTGCTGCTGACCGAGTGGCCAGGCTGACGGGGAGCTTCTGGGGTGCAGATGCACTCGGGAAGGGTGGAAAGGGCATCCGCCGAGGGGCTCAGGTGGAAGTCCTCAGAAAGGAGGGCGATGACGATGGCGAATGCTGGGTTGTAGGTGAAGTCTTGAGGGTCTGCAATGATCACGTGCTGGTGCATTACAAGGAGGCACGTGGTGTTACGGACGGCCAACCTGTAAATGAGGAGTGGGTGAAACTGGAAGCTTCGGGAGTGGACAACCAGGAACAATCGGGTGGGAGAGGGAGAGGGAGAGGAAGAGGCCGGAGGGGCGGAAGGGGTGGGAGACGCGGAAGAGGGGGAAGAGGGGGGCGAGGGGGTGGCGAACAGAGGGGTAGGCACATGGCCAACGTTTATGGGCGGTTTGGACCGCGGCCTCATGTGCGCCTCGTCCGCCCATCTACTGATTCAGATGTCGAAAGGCGCCATGATTTTGTCAAGGGCGACCATGTTGAAGCGCATGTGGCAGATGCTTGGTGGGAGGGTACCGTGAAGGGTGTTCGGAGGGATGGGCTGACTGTCATGCTGTGGGCGAATGGGGCTTCCTGTCTGGTTCGACGGAACGACTTGCGATTTGCATACGAGTGGAACGACGAGGAATGGGTTATGTGGGACCGTGAAGCAGCAAAGGAGAAGAAGGCAGCAGAAGCAAGGAGGAGAAAGGAGCTGGCGAATGCAAAGAGGCAACGGCTGGAGATTGAGAAGCAAAGTGGGGGTGTAGATGCCTCAGGACGTCTGGGGAAGGACAGCGAGAGGGTTGATGATGCGGAAGGGAATGGCCGAACGGCGGTAGGGGATGGGAGAGAGGCAAACTCAGCAGGGGAGAATGGTGATGACGAGGGAGCTTCTGAGAAAATGCAAACAGATAAGGGAGAAGAGGGCTCGGGAGGAGATGGGTGGAAGTCCAAAGCTCTTCCTCTGCCTCCTCTCGACCAAACAGGGGAATGCGTGTATGGACCTGCGGAGAATGCCTTCATCAGTCTGTACGTGTCCATGTTCATGAAGAAGTACGAGTTGGTGCCACCTCAGCAGGAGGATAAAACGTGGGATATAATCGACGAAGAGATTGCCATGGAAGTCGAAAGGGAAATAATTGATCAACATGGCGGTGCGATGACGGGCTTAACACTTCCGCTCGAACAATTAACTCGTGAAGCCAAGAAGTGCATCAGAGAGAGCCTTCATCTTCCGCACCATACAGCTGAACCCTCAAGCTGCCCACAGCTGGTGCCGACAGAAGGCAGTTGCGGAGGATTGGACCTTGGAGGCTTTGACGGAGCGGTCGGTCAGTCTGACATGGAGGTGACTGCTGACCGTGGGAAGGATGGGGTCCCAGGAGGGTTGGGTACTAGTGAAAGGGCAGAAATCTCAGAAGTGAGGAACACTGGAACAATGGGGGTGTGTCCTGGCCAAGAAATCGGGGCGGCGGAGACATTGTGTTCAGGTGATGCGGGAGTGGCGGGGGTGCATGGAGGCGACCCGGGGGCAAGACAGGGTGGACGTGCCGATGAGCCAAGGGGGAAGGTAACGAGAGAGCACGAGCAGGCTGAGGGAGGCCTTCAGGAAGAGGGAATGGTCAGCACGGCTGAAGACGGTTTGCACGGTCGCGATGGTTGCTGTGCAGCAGTGGAGTTGGAGGCAAGTTGCAGTGATGGTCGTAAGGGCACAGAGGAAAGAGCTACGGTGGACATGCTGCAGCACTGGAGCACCCAGACTAGCAGAGAAGAAGATGCTGGGAAAAGTTGTGCGGACGGTTCAGGACTGATGCAAACTGGTGCAGAAGGAGGCGACTGGAGCGGACTTGAGGGAGAGGAGGGCTCAGCACCTAGTACGGGGCAGGATTTAGTCCAAGAAACGAGGGAACTTCATATGCAGGCTGCTGACGCTGGAACCCTGAAAAGAAGTATGGATGTCAAACATCAGGAGATGGATATTGAGGAGACAGGAGAGGGGGGTGAGAGGAGGCGCGAAGCTGGAGATGCAATTGGGGAAGGACAGGAAATTGGACAAGAAGGTGAGCACCAACCTGGAGGAGGTGCTGCAAGGTGTGAGGACGAGATGGCGCCCAGTGCGGGTGATGCAGACAGAGGACATGATCAACGGTTCAAGGCAGAGGCTGCTGGTGTATCTGAAGATAGGGACGGGACTGAGGAAGCTGACAAGCTGGATCGTACTGTGGATATGCAAGAAGCAACAGATCCTGGGGATGCAGCAACAGATACTGGCGATGTAGCAGCAGATCCTGGCGATGTAGCGACAGATCATGGAGATGTGGAAATCAGAGTCTCAGGAAAGGGAGGGGGGCTAGACGGCAGAAACATTGAGAAGAGAAAGAAGAGCACAGAAGAAGACAACGACAAGCCAGATCGATCTGGTGGTCGACCAAGGCGTCGTGCTGCTATGACGCCACGCAAGGAGACTATGCTTGCATCAGTGGGAACCGGAAGAGAGGATAGAGAGGGTACAGATGGGAGCAAGAAGAAGAGGGCAAGGGTGGAGGTCGATGTAAGCGTGGAGGAAAGGGCCGGTGGAGGGGAGGCAGGTAGGCAATCAAGGGAACGTGTATGTGTCGAGGAAGATGACGAAGAAGAGGGCGACGAGGAAGAAGATGATGAGGAAAGCGACCCAGCATATGAGGATGAGAGTGGGAAGAGGGATGCAGATTGTGGAAGTGACTCAGGGGATGAGCTGATGGGTAGTGGAAAAAGCACGAGGACACCGAGGAAGAGCAGGAAGAGCAGCAGATTGCGAGATGATGAGAATGATGTCGAGGTGGAAGAGTCAGCTGCTAAAGATAAGGGAAAGAAAGCTGCTGCGCGAGAAAAGGGGCCTACTTTAAGAGGCCGGAAGACTCCACTTGCTTTGGGTGATGGTACAATCGCCGCGGCAGAATATCAGGCACGTATGGACTTGATGGGGGCTCTGCTGGTAGCTTGGTCCCCTGTTTACAGGGGCAATGCCTCGGGACGGGTGTGGCGAGAGGAGGACGGCTCTGGTCAGAGCGGAAAGGAGGGTGCAAGGGCGTGTGTCTTTTTGGCTGTTGCTGGGAAGGCAGGTAGGGTTGTCTTGTGGAGGTTGCGCCTGCCGTCATATTCTCTCTCAAGAGAGGCTTGCCTTCATTTCCCCGAGTTCTCCTTGGTCTGCTCCTTTCTGGTTCATTCGTCCTGGGTGAGTGCATTATGCTGGAAAAAGGTTGTGATTGAGCACCATCGAACCATTGCTGGGGAGGGAGGAAATCGGAGAGAGAGGGAACTGCTATTGTTGGTCACTGGAAGCTCGGATGGCAGTGTCAGGCTCTGGTACCGTGATGCCGAGGATCTAGCAAGCATACCCCAGTATGATAAATGTGCGGCAATGTACCTTTTGGGGGAAATTTGTCCTGCGGATGATTTGAATGTGAGCAGCTTGGCAGTGGGTGTGTGCAGTGGGAATGCCGGCAGCGGGAAGGTAGAGGATGGACACCATGATTGGCAACATGAGGGTGGTGGTATTGCCCTTCCGTCGATTGCCATCGCTGTGGGGAAGGGGGCCGGTGATCTATTTGTGTGCCATGGGACCGTAACTCAGTCAGATGAAGGAGATGCATTCGTCAGAAAGCAGACATTTTGCCGCCCTGCTGCTCATGAGCAAATGATAACAGGGCTTGCCTGGACAGAAAACTGCATCCAGCTCTATAGCTGCGGCCAAGACAACCAGTTGAAGTGCTGGAAGTATGAAGGGTACAAGCTCCACCGCCACGAACTGCCTGACGTGTCCTGCCTTCCGGGTGCGCAAGCTCAGAACATGAGCACAACCGTTGAAGTGGTGACGGATGCGATGGACAATTACTATGGGATTGCTATGTCGCCGAATTGCCTTGCAATGGCGACTGTTCGAGGCATGTCGTCAGAGCTTTTGAACCGAATGTACGAGAGACGACAGCAGCAGGGTGTTCTCCAAATCTTCTGGATTTCTGGGGTTGACAACAAGCCTTGCCCCCTTGAAACTGCAGGTGGGAACATGCAGCTCTGCGTGTCAACGTCCAAGAACGATCTCACCCGTGATGCTGTCCTGCTTGCTTGGAAGCAGAGTATTCTTCAGTCCATGAGGAACTTGGCACCTTCCGATAAGCCTATTGTCTTGTGGGACATAATCGGTGCGATTCAGTATGCAGGAGACCTGGGTGTTAGCATGCTTGCACAGGATGTGGTATCTGCATGGGAGGAAGAACTGCCAAAGGTCTACCCGGTGCATGGCACAGACACAGTACAAGATGACAAAAGGAGTCTGGAAGCAAGTGCAGATGTGAAGGCACGCAGGATGGCTTGCCGAGCGCACCAGATGACGATCGGACTGTGTAGAAAGTTGTGCTCGACACACAGGGGGAAGACGCGAATGCGCCGGAGGAAGTCTCAGAGTGCTGCAGAGAGGGAGCGGGATCAAGAACGGGAGCGGGAACGCGAAAGGGAATATGATTGCGAATTCAGCAGAGATGCGGAGAGGGAGGCCTTGGCGGAGAGGGAACGAGAGACTGTCAGAGTGTGGGAGACAAGCGTAGAGGCTCACGAGCATGTGCTGAGGGAGAGCTTGGTTTACACGCTTCTTGCGGCTGCATGCCAGCTGAAGGAGGGTTTGTCAGACTGTGATGTAGAGCAGAGGAAGGTGGCTTTTGGCAGCAACCAGGGCAGCAAGAGGGTGACTGTCTCGGAAACCAGTGCATTGCTTATGGCAGACTGGATATCGCACAACGCTCCATATGTCTGGCCATCACTTCTTGAGGCTGCAGCAAGGGTTTACCATCTGTATGGGACACTTCCGCCAGCATGTTTGCCCTCCACTATTCGTGAAAGCTGTCCATTATGCCAAGCGCCGGTCCCCTGGCAGTCGCACGACATGGCGAAATGCATGAATGCCTCCGGTGAAGAAACACCGTTGCGCTCCTCGCTCGTTAGCTGCAGCAACCGTGGCTCTGGGGCAGGCAGTGCAGCAACACTGGGGCAGGCGGCGCACAAGCTCCATCGCTGCATGGTGTCAATGGAGCTATGCATGTCTCCACGGGTCTGGAGGTGTAGTTGCTGCTCAAGGCGGGCCTCCGCGCCAGTTCCACCGCCTTTTCTGACCTATGCGATTTCTCCTAAACTAACTTCCGAGAGGTCACTTGTGGAGGACAGAACCCGAGGGTTGGAGGGAGTCATGCCAACCTGTTTATTTTGTGGTGTCCTCATGCATTGTGTTAATCCTATCAGCCTCATGAACCCGACTTCGGCGTAGCACTCAATTGTACCACACGATCCACTTCCCATTTCTGACAATAGTCCAGGAAACCACTGCCAAACCTATATCCCTTGGTCGCTCTAACAACTGCACTTTCTCTCCTCCCTACCCCCCCCCCCCCCCCCCCCCCCCCCCCCCCCCCCCCCCCCCCCCCCCCCCCCCCCCCCCCCCCCCCCCCCCCCCCGCCTCCGCCCCCGCCCCTCTGCCTTCTCGTACATGCGGTATAATGCTGTTGTCATCATAGCTTTACCCTAATTGCCGGACCCTGCCCTGATCTGCAAGGGCGTCATTACCAGCATGCAGGATTGGTGCTTTCCTGCTCTTCTCTTTCTGTCTCTTATACACATCTAGATGTGTATAAGAGACAGCTGCAAGGGCGTCATTACCAGCATGCAGGATTGGTGCTTTCCTGCTCTTCTCTTTTTCTCGAGAGCTTGTGTGTGAAAATGGACCCCCCATTCCATACATTTGTCCGATCTCTGATCATGATACAAGTGGGTGCAATCTTTTGCAGAACAACTTGTTTCTGTTTTCCCAAATTAGGACACTGTGAAGTTGTGATGTATGAGGTAAGTGCTTGGAGCAAAACATTTGCATCTGGGTGATTATTTTAACGCGTTACAAAAATGTTTACATAGAGATTGCGCACGTTGTGTCCTTCGGGACATCCGTTAAAATTGGAACGATACAGAGAAGGTTAGCATGGCCCCTGCACAAGGATGACATGCATAAATCAAGAAATTGTCCAAATGAAAAAAAAAAAAGAGATTGAGCACGTTGTATAGACAACATATACAATGTTGTTTTCGGGGAAATCCATTGTCCTCTCACATATGGACATCTTTGACAGAGATTTATCGAGTGAGAAGCACCTCCAAAATTCTCCAAATGCATGTACAAAGGGCGCGCAACGCCACTGCTGACCTTCGCCTGGCCGCTTCTGACCTGTAGTCAGCCGCTGCTGTTCTTTGTCTGCCGAAGAAGAAAACGCGATTGTGAAACGATGAGTAGCAAAGAATAGTCGTGCCACTTAGGGCCTGATTCGCCACTCTATTCCCTTGCTCGAGTCCCCAGAAAACATCTGATCGGCGTCATAGATCATCGGCTGTTGGGTCTTCTTCCAGATACAGAAGGTGGGGGCACAGGAGGTCACTCCTCGCCCTTTTTCGACGACTGCCTATGTGTGTGCCCAGCCACTGCCAGCCTGCTAGGCGACCTGGCCAATGGCTGGTCGCTCGTGTCTGACCATGGCTCCATGCTCTGTGATTACAGCAATCCTTTGGTTGCATACAAAAGCTGTGCACTTTGCAGAGCTACTAACTAATGTCTTCAATGGCCGTTATTCTCTTTCTGCGCCTCTCCGATAGCGCACGAGAAAGTGGTTTTTGAAACTGCAGAATTTTTCTCGAATGGAAAACTTCTGCCCGACCGCTTCGCCGCTGGGGATGTGGTTGAAGTGGTTGGTATAAAAAGGGGAGGAGAAAGCTCAGCTGATGGGAAATGCAGGCGATGATACTGTAGAGTTTTTCAAATGGAAAACGTCTGCCAGACAGCTTCGTTGCTGGGGATGCGGTGGAAGTGGTTGGTATAAAAAGGGGAGGAGAAAGCTCAGCTGATGGGAAATGCAGGCGATG